GACGACCCGTTTTTCCCTAGAAAAAAAATATGCACGAGACGACAAATTGTTGGCACGTGCGAGGAACCCTACTTTTTAAAGTTTGGGGTTATCTTGAATAGGCTACCGACCTTAAATTGGCACGCTTTAAATTGTGTGCTCCAATCCCTCCTACCTTAAAGCCCTCTTCAATTTAATGATGGTCAGAAAATTAGGCCAGTATCATTTTTCTTTTTAGTAACAAATATGTTGCAAGTGGCTTAACGTTGCTGCATTTAGGAAATTACTATGACTAAAAGCATCGCCTCCTAAATTAGAACTTCCAAATTATTTTTCAAGTTGTGATGGGACTCGTGGGCCGTGAGTTAGCTTTTACGCCTGCGGTTTGCTACTTTTTGCGGTTCTGTGGGTGAAAAAAAAATAAGGAAAATAATTAATTTTTTTTGTACGCGTTTTAATGAAAGCGCAACATCAAGATAACGAACATTTTGAATTTTGCTACATATTCATGGTGAGTGGTGAGTGCTATTAGTATTGAGCGACCGTTTGGGGAGATATTTGTGAGATATATAAAGTAGGTGATTATATTAAAGGAAAAGGGTATTAAAAGCATTTTAGTTTTTTGTTTTGGATAAATTGTAGTTTTAAATTTTTAATCCAATGAAGTTCTGTTTTTCTTTTTTGTTCCCCGTATAATTCAGACCTTTTGGGCTGATATTTTTAATAAACAGGAGTGGACGAGTCAAAACTCTTTCATCTTTGATCTTTCCTTCCTCGCGTCACAAGAAATCCTAGTTGCTTCAAAGAAAATTCATAAAACTTTTGCGTGTGTGTTGGGGTGCTGCTTGCATTGGTTCAAGCACTAATTCAATTCTCCTTCTAAAACCATAGCACTTTTAGAATAGTATCTCATAGGCGGCGAGGTAAGGTCTAAAGCTCTTTGGAAGTTTCGGTGATGTTCTCGACCATTCGATGCGAGTGACCGGATGATCAAGTCCACGAAAACCCAGGTCCGTAGAATTATGGTCTGGCCCATGGGGTTTTACGGGCCGAATCTAGTTCTGTTTAATTGGGCTCGAAACAGCCAGCCTTTATTAATGTCCCCTCTATTTTGGGCTAATATTTCAAACCAAACTAGCTTCGATCCTCGAATTTTGTTGACAAATAAAAGAAAAGGGAATATAAAATCATGCTGTAAATAATCACCTTTGGATCTAATTTAACTCAATTTAACAAGTAACGGATGAGAAGCCACATGAAAAAAAAAATTAAAATTGAAAGAAATTGCCATCCAATTTATTAATGCCCACAGTTCTTTGCTTCTAAGTGTATCACAACAAATACTAGGAGAAGAGGCATCTCCATTTTAGTTAGCTTGATCATGGTTTAATAAAATACATTCTAATAGGGGACGACCATACTTGTTCAATTTATCTCTTTCAACTTGGATACCATGAGGTGGGCCTTGGAAAGTTTTAGAATAAGCAGGGGAAATCGCAGATCCTCCAACCGTAGAGCTCATAGGGCTTTGAAACCAAATACATTACCAACAATGGAAGTAAACATGTTAGTACCGTAGTTTTTTGCGGATAATCCCAATTTTGGTTTAATAGTACATCCCAATAGGGGACGACCATACTTGTTCAATTTATCTCTTTCAACTTGGATACCATGAGGCGGGCCTTGGAAAGTTTTGGAATAAGCAGGGGGAATTCGCAGATCCTCCAAACGTAGAGCTCGTAGGGCTTTGAAACCAAATACATTACCCACAATGGAAGTAAACATGTTAGTAACAGAACCTTCTTCAAAAAGGTCTAAAGGATAAGCTACATAAGCAATAAATTGCTCTGCTTCCCCAATAACGGGCTCGATGTGGTAGCATCGTCCTTTGTAACGATCAAGACTGGTAAGTCCATCAGTCCGTTTAGCACATCCTTAATTTGTGTAAAGGTTCACAATAATAATCGACTCAAATTATCTTATACCACTAAAAAAAATTAGTATATCCTAAATTTCGTTAGGCCCGTAACAAATAAAACAACTCTCCCACCAACAAACCAGCATCAAGACCCGGTCCAAATCCCCGCTCAAAATAGAAAGTTATAAACTAACCCTAATTAACTAATTAAACTCCCAAATCCAGACGAACTAAATTAATTAAAACTCCAAAAAAACAAAGAAGAACAAAACAAAAATGGCACCGATACGTCTAACAACACTAATCCCCCTCCTCCTCCTCACGGGCTTCGCGGTCCATTCAGCCACCGCAGACAACGTCTCCCAACATTTCATCGTCACCGACGGCTGCGCCAGCGGAGAATGCATCGACGAGCCGTCGAGCTTGGAATCGGAGATTGGTCGACGAGTTCTTGAGGAAGGGAGTACGCACATAAGCTACAATGCGCTCAGGAGGAGTACAGCGCCCTGCGGCGTAGCAGGAGCGTCTTACTACGGTTGTGCAGATGCTAATCAGGTTAATCCTTATCGACGTCAATGCAGCGTTATTACTAGATGTGCAAGGGACTTGAATTGAATGGCTGAATGCCAACCGAGCGAATAAAAAGAGAGGAAAAATCTCTTTTAGCCATACTCGACTATTTAGCTACGTCGTTGTATGTGAGAAAACCTTCTCTCGTATATGTTTAAGATTATCTATAGTTGTGTTATGAAATAATGTGGATGTCCATTTAGTTTTCTAATGAATTGATATTCCCCTAGTACATTAATTAATCTTTTTTCTAGAATAACACAATGCATGTTCTTGAAAGACTAAGTTCATGACTGAGTAATTAATATGATTCTTGTATCATCATCTTAGTTTGTATATAAATAGAGGTATTCCTACATCACTTTGATAGAGCAATGAAGAACGAATGAAATAAATAAAATTTCTCTCTACTTCTCGTCTACCTTTTCTCTACTCTACTTCATTAGTTTTACAACAAGTTGGTGTTTTTAGGTTGATATATATATATCATTGATTGGGTAATTTTCTCAGGGGGAGGAAAGGTTTTTGTTGTTATTATAAAGGCACAAAACATACACATATGAATGTTCATTTAGATTGTAAAACGACATTCTTATATATGGTGATTGTCGTCGTCTTATTGCTTGGTTTAGGTGTTATTTACGTACATTTTGTAGCTCAAGGGAGATCCAAACTAAGATGCTAATGATGTTTATCATTGCTATTATTATTATTTTGCATGTTTGTGGCTTTTTAATTTTAGTATTTGTAATAGAAGCAAACTTATAGTGTCTTGAAGAAAGAATGTTTAATTAATAGTAATTAGGTTATTAATGTGAAATTTTCCGTTTGCTGAAAAATTGGTTTTGTGTTTTTGTTGTTTTATGGGTACGTAAAATATGCGTGATTCGGTGATTTTCTTGCTTTACATGTTCTTATGTAGATTTTATGTGATTTCAGTGAATTGTGTTGTTGGTGATTAATATAGGAAGCTAAGCTTACGTTGGATCTGTCTTAAGATCCTGGATTTCTAACAATGGGATTCAGACCCTCTTTTTCTCAAGGGACGAATCTGTTCTTTTTTTTATTTTTAAAATATCACTACTAAATAATGAGGCATCCTAGACGGAAAATTCCGTCTAGGATACCCAGTATTCCGTCTAGGATGAGTAACCTAGACGGAATTCCGTCTAAAATACGCGTCTAGTATGTTTCCGTCTAGGATGTAGTATTCTAGACGGAAATTCCGTCTAGAATACATCCTAGACGGATTATTCTAGACGGAACTCAAAACCATCTAGAATACATCCTAGACGGATTATTCTAGACGGAAATTCCGTCTAGAATACTTCATCCTAGACGGAAAAAATTTCCGTCTAGGATGGTATCCTAGACGGAAATTTTCGTCTAGGATACTCATCCTAGACGGAATTTCCGTCTAGAGTGTTTTTTAATTTTTTTTTTCAAAAAAACAAGTATCCTAGACAGAATTTGAGCATCCTAGACGGAATTTCCGTCTAGGATGCTATGCTACAGTAGTTTTTTTTTTTTTGCAGAATCTCTTTTGAGTGCATGTGAACAACAACAAATTATATTCATATCCAACACAATCTAATTATATTCTAATATCAAATCCAATTATATTCAAATAATACATTCGCCAAAATAATAGAGAGATACATAAATTGTTTACAAACTTTTACATAAATTATTTACAAGAGGTTCTGTATGCTCCATCGCACAACATTACGCATAATTCCTCCATCAACCCGATCTCTGCATTCAAACTTCATATGCTCTTTAGAGATTTTAATAGGCCTGTCATTAGACTTGTCTGTGTAACCTGACAAAAAAAAACTCCAAAATCCTGGTAAAGGTACCCCAAGCGAAGATTTAAATGAAAAATACAAGGATAACAATAAAAATTTAGAACTAAAAACAAGTAAATTATTCAGTATCTGCTGGCATAAAGAGGCAAAGAAAAAAACTATCACAGTTCATCAAGAAAGAACCAATAATTGAAACTAAAGGACATGAAAGTTTTCTGAGGAAGCCGTAAACACTAGTCATGACATAGGGGTGTTAAACGGGTGGGTTTGGGCATTAAACGGGCGGGTCATAAATGGGCGGGCATGTTTTGCCCATTTACCCATTTATGGCCCATTTAATATTTTCTAAATGGACGGGTTTTTACCCGCCCATTTAATAAACGGGCCGCCCATTTGCCCATTTAATTATAGTAGCTATATATGTATAATGCTTTTAGGATGTTTTTTGTAAACTTTTAGGGGTTTTTTTGTAAACTATTAGGGGCTTTTTGTAAACTTTTTGAATTATCAAAATATGCATAGGCATGTACATAACCCATTCAGGAATAGCATGAACATATTGAACAAGATAGCATTAAAATTACCAATCATGTATTTTTTTTCTTTTTATTATGCCAAGCGCAAATAACTCAAAGAATACATCACTTGCAAAATGATATACATTGTTTATTACGATAACCAATGCCACAAGAAGCCACTTATGCCACATCAAAAAGAAATTCAAATAGAATTCAAATAGAGCACAACTTTTTCGAACATGCAAACCTGTCTTATGAATAAGTATCACAACTCGCCTTAAAATGCCACAATAACCCCAATCAAAGGAAAAATACAGACAGAATTTTGATGGGATAGGGATCATAACAAACACATTAACCAAACATCAAACCCCTCACGAGAGTCCACATAATTGTTGAACTGACAATTATTCATTTCAAGCATTGCAATGCGAGGGACCACACCAAACCCAAATAGAAAAAGGAAACACAACAAACCTAAAATCCCTATTCATTGAGATAATCACCAAGCCTCTCAACAATCATATTGCACTGCCCAAGAGTCATTGGCTCATCATAAATGCCGAAGATCAAAGCAAGATTAGTTTTCTTGATTGTAACACCTCATGCACCCTGAAAGAAACAAGCAAACAACCAGCTCAATTATGTTAAGGATAAATATCTTTGTATAAAAGCAGAGCATAAAACCATGAATAATTTTATTATGTTTCTCTTTTCTATAACAAGCAACTGCAAATTTCATCCTGTGCCATAATACATGAAACAGATGCACCCAACTTTATCAGCCATGGAAAGTTACTTCTCCTTCAGCATGTCTTTCATTCATTCACAACTTAAGCAGATTTAGAAAAAGACAATGATATGTAAATAGTTAAGGTTTCAATGTATGAAAAGGATGTTCGGTCTGCAAAGATATTTTAGAATATAAAATCAGCTCAATTATGTTAAGGATAAATATCTTTGTATAAAAGCAGAGCATAAAACCATGAATAATTTTATTATGTTTCTCTTTTCTATAACAAGCAACTGCAAATTTCATCTTGTGCCACAATACATGAAACAGATGCACCCAACTTTAGCAGCCATGGAAAGTTACTTCTCCTTCAGCATGTCTTTCATTCATTCACAACTTAAGCAGATTTAGAAAAAGACAATGATATGTAAATAGTTAAGGTTTCAATGTATGAAAAGGATGTTCGGTCTGCAAAGATATTCTAGAATATAAAATTATAACCGACAATCCTTATTGTAAATTGAATTTTGGCAATATGAGAGAGTTTGAGGAATACGCTGCTGACTGGCATTCTCATTTACTATTTGTCTAAATTTGAGCACTTGTTACACTCTTGTACAATGAAATTAATCTCATCTACTTTGTGCTTAGATACATGGAACTCTTTTAACTAAAAAAATTAAATAGCCAACTATAAGCACATGTTCCTGTACTGTATTCAAACCAAACAGAGAAGCAATCCATATCACAGGTGAATAGACTCTAAAAATATACTAGAGTTGTAACAAAACAACCAAATACGAAAATACAACTATTAATTGCACATTTTCTATCAACCATGTTTGCACACCAACCATAACCATTAAGAATATGGAAACATAATCCTCAGTCTTCCCACAATATCGAAATTTTGGTATTACGCAAAACACATTAAGATGGAGATTCAAATCGTATCAGATACAATTTTAAAATGGATTCAGAAAAGGTACCGCTGCACTAAATAGTTCAGATTTCAATAGTTAAATTGATACTACGCCCGCAAACACATGCTCTAGAATGCAAAACTGTTCTCACCGTAATTTTGAAATTTTGCTACAAGAGACTTTAAGGAATATGTTGCTAGCTAGCAGTCTCGTTTACCCTCTGTCTACTGCAAACTAACATTATCTACTTTGGCCTAGATTGTTCACATGTAATTTGGTGACAAACATTTGTCGACAAGTGTAAAGTGTTTATTAGCACTCTTAAATAAACGAACAAAGTAGAGCCAATTATAAGCACATGTTCCTCTATTGTATTCAGACCATGCAGATACACATGGGTCCATTCTCACAACGTAATCCAACCCTGAATTGAAAGTAATAAAAAGGTAATTCCAATCCTTGGAGTTGCACTGACAATTTCCTCCAAAGATAAGATATCGGTTTTTTATGCATTCCATACTACGTAGTAGTAGAAGAAACAACGAAGATCTCATTCAAGGGTTCTACAAGAAGATGAAAGATGAACTTGGAATGTGTATATACTTTCTGGGTGTGAAGTTAAATACATCAGATGAATTTAATCGAGAAAAAGAAAATCAATATCAATGTGAAAGGAGAGTATCAACACTGACAAGGATTTAACAAGCTCACATGACAGCAGTACACTATTTCAGCAAATTTTGAAGCCAATCAATGTAAATACCAAATCAAATGAAATCTAATAACCCGTAAAGAACACTCAACCTATAAAAATGCATTAGAATGTAAAATTATAAACCGCTGTCTACCTCACTACTTTGGTGCCATGAGACTTCAAGAATAATGTTGCTCGCTAGCAGACTTATTTACTATTTGTCTCATTTCGAATATCTGTTGCACTCTTGTGCAAGAAAGCTAATTAAGGCTATCTACTTTGTGCTATATAGTTTACATCTACTTTAGAGACAAATATCTATTGAGAGGTGTCAAGAGGTTGTTAGCAGACTTAGACAACATCATAAATGTACAAAGTAGCCAATAATAAGCACGTGTTACTCCATTGTATTCAAAACCACACAGATAAGCAAGTAGTATATAATTTAAGAGAGTTCCAAGGAAAATTCTAGTTCTGAAAACCACCAAATTTGTGTAATATAGGTTTAAATAAATGGGTGGTTATTCAAACTCCATCAACATCTGATCTGATTTAAATGGTCATTATTATAAATCTAGATGTGAAAGTAGGATCAATTGCGGATAACTTTCTCTCAGCTATATTTTTTTTGATGGAAAATAGGGCATATTGCCCTATCATAAGTATGATATATAACTAAAATTGTGAGATACTTACAAAAGAAGATATCTTCAAATGATTTAAACGATATCTCTGAGATGGAGAAAAAATCCAAATCAGTAGAAAATATCTTAGAGATAAGAATAAAAGAAAGCTACCAACAAAGAAAACGAAAAACACAGTCACATCTTTAACTATAAACTGTCAGCAATAAGGTCATTTTTATATTTAAAAAAATGAAAAAAAGGCAAGAAAACTCTATAGAATTGGCTACTTATATAATAACCTATGCAGAGAAGTCAAAATAAAGACAAGTCCAAGATGTCTAAGAAAAACCTCTATAAAAGCCAACCCACCATATTCTCATCCTTCGTTCTCTTCTTCATCAATACTCTCAGCACATACAATTACAAACTTCAAAAACATGAAGAGAATATGCTAAAACCTTTATACACTAAACCTTAACCTTTAGCGTAAATAAAAAGTCAAAAACTTTTCTTCTCATAAGCACAAATTTCACTTTTATACACTAAAACAGAAGTTTTACAGCAAAAAGAAGCAATTTCGTACAGTATCATACCTTCACTCGTGACCTCCCAGGAGACGAGTCGCCTCCAATCGGAACACTGATCGAAGTCTGCAAAAATCCCCATTCCCACCATTACAACGAACGAAATCAATCAAAGAACAAGAATCAGTTAACGAATCTTCACTCACCTGAGCTGCTAACGCGTGCGCCATCGCGAATATCGAAGAAAGACTAGGGTTTCCCGGTTGAGGCGGCAGAGGAGGCTCTGGCTTCGCGGTTGAGGCGGCGGAGGAGGCTCTAGCTTCGAGAGGCGGTTGAGGCGGCGGAGGAGACGGCGGAGGAGGAGGCGGAGGAGGCTCTAGCTTCGAGAGGCGGTTGAGGCGGCGGAGGAGACGGCGGAGGAGGAGGCGGAGGAGGCTCTAGCTTCGAGAGGCGGTTGAGGCGGCGGTGGAGGAGGCGGAGGAGGAGGAATTGGGGTCGGGATTGAGGCGGAGGAGGAGGAATTGATGTCGGGCTTCGCGAGAAAAGAAGAGCTCAGAGAGGAATTAGGGTCGGGATTTAGGGTTTTTGTTTTGGTAATATGAGCGGGCGGGCAAACGGGTTAATAAACACCGCCCATTTAGTGCCCATTTAGTATAATTTAAAATAAACCCGCCCGATTAGACCCATTTAACTAAATGGGTGGGTTTTGGGCGGGCCAAGTAATGGGCGGGCTAGGTGGGTAAATGGGTATGGGCAAAAATTGACTTCCCTACTCAACCCCAGACAACATGCACACCAACAAATGTAACCCCAGTAAACCCACAAAAATGAGTCCAGGCAAACAACCAATAGGAAAACGCAAGCTCTTTTAAATCAATATTATTACTGCTCCCCTCCACCTGGAACAACTGCAAAAATATTTGTTAAAAGTTATTTGCGCTTTCTTAGATTCAATGACCCTCAACAAGTATATGTGACGATATAGAAGTATTTTCTACAGAATTTGATAAATCATGAAAGTTTTTTTACAGTTCCAATACATGAAAAGTTTATTGTTAAAGAGAAGGTACATGGAACAACAAGAAATGTATAACAGAAAACTAGAGATGTATAGTAATATTTTTGACGTTAACTTTAAAGATTCGGAGGGCTAAGTATGAAAAGTCAGGAGTAATATGCAACACAAAAGTATAGTGAGGGATGCACAAAAATTCCATAAAAAAAATTCCAAATTTTAGTCTAGAAAATTAAGTATTTATAAATGCGTGCGGAAATTAGGCTCTAATGAACGAGGGCTTATTTGGTTTGAAGCCCAAACTACGGTGTCTTAAGTGGTCTTTTTTGCAAATTCCAAGTTAATTAGCTTAGCTCTAGCTTACGTACCTATCTGCCACGAGTGACAACTGACTTTTACTATTGGGTATATGCAGGAAGGCCCATTTAATCAATAATAGATTTATTTTTTTCCTATGCTTCGTACACAAACATTTTACTCTTGCAATTTTTTTTTTCATTTTAGGTGAAGGCAAAATTTATCTTCTTGGCATTTGTACTATTATTATGTTCAACTAATTTCCGAAAATTTATACTCATATTGAGGATTGAGAGTGAAAGATAAGACATTAACTATTACCATGTACTTATAGTGATCTAATAAGATGCTGAATGCATGCAATATTTTTTTTTATCAGTGATCAAAAGGGGATAGGGCATTATCATATCATGAATGAATTAAATATAATTGACAGGTTAATCTTTACCTAAATGGGAAAATCACATGATCATTAAACTTTATGGCTATGTTTAAATTAGGGACTAGTTTTATCCTGAGATTAATTTAACTCACCTCACTACTTTGGTGCCATGAGACTTCAAGAATAATGTTGCTCGCTAGCAGACTTATTTACTATTTGTCTCATTTCGAATATCTGTTGCACTCTTGTGCAAGAAAGCTAATTAAGGCTATCTACTTTGTGCTATATAGTTTACATCTACTTTAGAGACAAATATCTATTGAGAGGTGTCAAGAGGTTGTTAGCAGACTTAGACAACATCATAAATGTACAAAGTAGCCAATAATAAGCACGTGTTACTCCATTGTATTCAAAACCACACAGATAAGCAAGTAGTATATAATTTAAGAGAGTTCCAAGGAAAATTCTAGTTCTGAAAACCACCAAATTTGTGTAATATAGGTTTAAATAAATGGGTGGTTATTCAAACTCCATCAACATCTGATCTGATTTAAATGGTCATTATTATAAATCTAGATGTGAAAGTAGGATCAATTGCGGATAACTTTCTCTCAGCTATATTTTTTTTGATGGAAAATAGGGCATATTGCCCTATCATAAGTATGATATATAACTAAAATTGTGAGATACTTACAAAAGAAGATATCTTCAAATGATTTAAACGATATCTCTGAGATGGAGAAAAAATCCAAATCAGTAGAAAATATCTTAGAGATAAGAATAAAAGAAAGCTACCAACAAAGAAAACGAAAAACACAGTCACATCTTTAACTATAAACTGTCAGCAATAAGGTCATTTTTATATTTAAAAAATGAAAAAAAGGCAAGAAAACTCTATAGAATTGGCTACTTATATAATAACCTATGCAGAGAAGTCAAAATAAAGACAAGTCCAAGATGTCTAAGAAAAACCTCTATAAAAGCCAACCCACCATATTCTCATCCTTCGTTCTCTTCTTCATCAATACTCTCAGCACATACAATTACAAACTTCAAAAACATGAAGAGAATATGCTAAAACCTTTATACACTAAACCTTAACTTTAGCGTAAATAAAAAGTTAAAAACTTTTCTTCTCATAAGCACAAATTTCACTTTTATACACTAAAACAGAAGTTTTACAGCAAAAAGAAGCAATTTCGTACAGTATCATACCTTCACTCGTGACCTCCCAGGAGACGAGTCGCCTCCAATCGGAACACTGATCGAAGTCTGCAAAAATCCTCATTCCCACCATTACAACGAACGAGTCGCCTCCAATCGGAACACTGATCGAAGTCTGCAAAAATCCCCATTCCCACCATTACAACGAACGAAATCAATCAAAGAACAAGAATCAGTTAACGAATCTTCACTCACCTGAGCTGCTAACGCGTGCGCCATCGCGAATATCGAAGAAAGACTAGGGTTTCCCGGTTGAGGCGACAGAGGAGGCTCTGGCTTCGCGGTTGAGGCGGCGGAGGAGGCTCTAGCTTCGAGAGGCGGTTGAGGCGGCGGAGGAGACGGCGGAGGAGGAGGCGGAGGAGGCTCTAGCTTCGAGAGGCGGTTGAGGCGGCGGTGGAGGAGGCGGAGGAGGAGGAATTGGGGTCGGGATTGAGGCGGAGGAGGAGGAATTGATGTCGGGGTTCGAGAGAAAAGAAGAGCTCAGAGAGGAATTAGGGTCGGGATTTAGGGTTTTTGTTTTGGTAATAGGAGCGGGCGGGTAAACGGGTTAATAAACACCGCCCATTTAGTGCCCATTTAGTATAATTTAAAATAAACCCGCCCGATTAGACCCATTTAACTAAATGGGTGGGTTTTGGGAGGGTCAAGTAATGGGCGGGCTAGGTGGGTAAATGGGTATAGGCAAAAATTGACTTCCCTATTCACGCGGAAGGAGCCAGCACGTGGGTGGGCCCCTCTTCACACGTCATATTCATAAAAAGAAACTTCAACTGTATAATTTCGGTTGACGGAATCTACAGTGAGAAACTTCCAATGACCTTTCTGACGCTCAAAAGGAATTTGAATCATAATAATTCAAGAATGATTCTAGAGGAGAACCAAAATGCATCTGTAAAATTAGCTATTTCGACAAAAATATTGTTGATAACATCGATCTTGATCAGGAGATGGTCGATACTAATGGCCTGTTTGGATGGAGGGTAGAGAGGGGAAGAGAATGGAAATTTCCTTTTAACCTTGTTTGAGAGTTTTATTTAGGAGGTTAGAGGAGGGGAATGAAGGGGAAATTTGACCCAAATTCTTACACCCCAAATTGAGGTGTAATGGAGGGGAAGGGAAGGAAGGGGAATTTTTCTCCTTCCTTCCCCTTTCTTCCCTTCCCTAAAAGTAAACTCCCAAACACACCATAAGAGAAAATTAAGGCTAGAGGACAGAAATAGAATATCATCCTCTAATTGGGCAATGGATAAAAAAAAATTGACGGGTGAAACGGCATTTCCCGCGCAGAAATTTGGTTTCTCAAGATGGCCACCAATTTAAACGGTGTTTAGGGCCAAATACAATAAATAATAGTTAATAATAAACGTGATGTCGGTTAATGGTCAATATGCATATTATGCATGTTCTAAAGTTTCCAGTTTAACAAGCAACTATTGCTCTAGGAGACAAATTATTATCATGCCTGCAGAAATCGACTCTAAAGCCCAGGATGCTTAAATCCTACATGAGTTCGCTGCAAACAGCCCATCATAAATAGACTCGAAATAGGGCTTAAATAAATGGGTTCAAATCCAATGTTGAAACCGGATCAGTATCAACATGAAAAGCATTAACAACAGTCAGATGAATATCAACACAGAGGTATTAATTGCCTCGTTGGTCAATGTATATACTACTTAACTGGACATTCATACCTATTTTAATTGCGAGCTTTGCTACAGGAACCCAAAATATGGGACCAATAAGGGGGACAAGTGAGGTGTTCCCCCTATTGGTCCAATATTTTTGGTCCTTGAGGAATTTTTCTTTAATTGCTTGGACGACCCGTTTATGTAACCACACACTAACTGAAATGCTTATCACCTTTAAAGCTTTTCTGTGAATTTGAGTTGCATGTTATTGTATTTAAACAATACAACTTGCTCAATATATTGCAAGTTAATAATTTAGGGAACAAAGTGCGAAATGCAATATATTATGCATAGAAAGAAATCCAAGATATTACGCATAGAAAGAAATCAGTTATATCAAACGATCAAGACGTTTTAGTGCAACGCCAGTGGACCCTGTTATGTCAATTGACGAAAAGCGTTATAAGGGATTAACGATTCAATATTTAACTACATGGCCAATTATCCAAGCAATTAAAACACAAGTATGAACGACCAAATAAGTAATGAGTATAGTGATGATCGGTCCAACTAATCCCAACACCAACGGTAGGCATTTTCAATTTCTAATGATACAAATATGAAGAACCCTTCTGAACTAATATGGGAAGTAATTTACATGATATATTATGGTATCTCGAGTTGAACATGGATATTGTAGACATCAATGCGCCTTTATCAGTTAATCAAACAGGGGCAGATTTAAAGCTTCATAATAAGACATGTTATTGGAGAGAGAGTGATGTATGAGGTATCATGCACCAGTGGCATATAGGCGGGTCCATTCCTTTGCTCCATCATATCATAACGAGTTCCAACATGTAGTGAATGCATATTACAGAGTACAGACGAGAAATATCAAGCCTACTAAGTTTGATGAAACTAGTTTTTCATTGCAAGCATTACTACGGTTGATAGTTAGATGGGTTTTGCAGATACACATTAATACACTGTGTACTGTTAAGGTGTGGCTGCCTATACCCCAGAACTATGTTATTAGCACT